TACTGAAGCTTACAATATTGATGAGTGACCCAGCAGACTTAAAATTCAAGTCTAAACTAAGAACCAAGAATGTTTCTTTTTATAATAGCTAATCTTTAAAGCATTAATTTTGCTTATGCATTAATAATTCTGAATAATTGAAGTTTATGACATTCCAGTCTTAACTATAATTCTGAGGAAAGAAAAGGAAATAAAGAGACTGCCCAATGATTGAGTAAATATGATTGGCTTTGTCCCCTATGCCATTGACTCAACTTTTTGTGTTTCTTATTTTTCAGAGTTTGTACAAATGATGACAGCAAAGTGAAGACATTGTACAGAATGTGTTAAATTTCTTGTACAAAATTGTTTATTTGCCTTTTCTTTGTTTGTAACTTATCTGTAAAAGGTTTCCCCTACTGTCAAAAAAATATGCATGTATAGTAATTAGGACTTCATTCCTCCATGTTTTCTTCCCTTATCTTACTGTCATTGTCCTGAAACCTTATTTTAGAAAATTGATCAAGTAACATGTTGCATGTGGCTTACTCTGGATATATCTAAGCCCTTCTGCACATCTAAACTTAGATGGAGTTGGTCAAATGAGGGAACCATCTGGGTTATGCCTTTTTTTAAGTAGTTTTCTTTTAGGAACTGTCAGCATGTTGTTGTTGAAGTGTGGAGTTGTAACTCTGCGTGGACTATGGACAGTCAACAATATGTACTTAAAAGTTGCACTATTGCAAAACGGGTGTATTATCCAGGTACTCGTACACTATTTTTTTGTACTACTGGTCTTGTACCAGAAACATTTTCTTTTATTGTTACTTGCTTTTTAAACTTTGTTTTAGCCACTTAAAATCTGCTTCTGGCACAATTTGCCTCAAATCCATTCCAAGTTGTATATTTGTTTTCCAATAAAAAAATTACAATTTACCCAACCGTTGCTCTGAATCTGAGTCATTTAATTAACTGAAGAACAGTATGTGGAATTGGTTTCTCCTTAGTTTAATCCACATAACTGTATAGGAATTGACATAGTAGGTGTTTAGTGTTTCCCGCCTTTTAAAATATATATTATGTTTGTCCATGATGACTTCAGCCACACAGTGATTTTTCAATTGTTAAAAATCACTATTTGGGGAGGGTTACTCTGTCTGGTTTTACCTCTGTTTCCTAACTTTGCAGTCAGTGTGCTTTTTAATTCAACTAAGACACTTGCAGGTAATCAAGTACAGGTAGGTGCTTTAGGATCACGTTGGCAGTGAGTAAGAAGACTTATCTTAATTTTTGCTTCTACCAGTTGCTTTCTCTATAATTTAAACTACTGAAAAATGTGGTTATCAGGGTTTTTGTGTTGTTTTAACTATACCTTTTAAATACTTAATGAAAGCAAGCTAAAGCAAAGACTAAAACTTTTATGTATGGTTGTTACCTACTTACTACAACAGTCCACAAGGTTTTGAATTTCCCCAGGAGGCAATTCATTATTTGGCAGGTTACTGTCCCATCTTTTTAGAACAAGGAAATTGACAGTCAGTCATTGCTAATCCTAACAGAAATGTTACCATTTATTGGGCAGGTGATCAACTAAATAGATTTTTTTTTTTTTTTTTTGCAGTTTTGGGGGCCCAAACCAGGTCTTATACATGAAAGACGAGCTCTACCACCGCACTGAGCTGCATTCCCAGCCTTTTATCTAAATTGTTGGGATGATCACTCTAATGAAGCCCCCTTTGTTAAATGTGCTAAGGCTTTTAAAGGGCAATTCAAACAAGGTATCTGGTGGAGTAAGAATTCATATTTCTGGCAGAGGCATTTTCTCCAGGGTGTAAAACCTGGGCTTTCAAGTTTTACTGCAGCAATGTTTAAATCGGCTCTGTGTGATCTTGAAGAGGCCTGATACCCAAGCTTGAGTTGTCTTACCTATAAAACAATTGTAATTTGCTCATCTGGTTTCTAACATCATACTTTGTAAAATATTCATGAAATGGAGCTTAGAACAGCATAATCCTTGGCATTTTGCAGTAAGTGCTCAATTACTATACTGTTAACATCAGTTAAGATCCTATGAGATGAAAAAATTGAGTAGTTAATTTCTTTTTTTTTTGGTAGAATGAGATTTGAACTCTGTTTGCAAAGCAAATGTCCTACCACTTGAGCCACACCACCAGTCCATTTTGCTCTGGTTATTTTACACAGGCTGGCCTCAAACCTCAAACCTGATCTCTGCCTGATTACAGGCGTGAGCCACTGCCCCACAACCTGGGCAGTTAATCTTGATGTTTCAGCAGTTTGAGGTTCATAAAAGTCAATACCAAGATATGAGTAACAAGGAAGGGCAAAACATGTTTTGGAATCTGGTGTCTTTTTTTTTTTTTTTTTTTCCCCTTCAGTGACAAAGGATCAAATCCAGGACCTTGGACATGCTAGGCAAGTGCTCTTTTACTGAACTACATCCCCAGCCCACTTGTATGTCATATTGGTGGTTTTATGAGTGTCACAAGTAGGCGTTATCTTGATTTATACTATAGAAAAAGTATCAGTTATTTAACTGACTATGATCTGTGTTCAAAGCTCATTTGTACTATTTTCTGTAACAGTCATACCTGAATCCAGGACTATAATTTCAAAATAACACCTTTAAGTCTTAACCATGTTATTAGTTTTATATTAGCACACTCATGGCAGTTACTGTTTCTGTAGCATGTTCGCTGTCAGATAATTCTACCACTAAACCATCACTATTTGAGTTGATTATCCTCAGGTGTAATTTTCCTGAAAATTTTCAAGAGAAGAAAAAATTTTAAAGATCTGATGAATAGCAGAGGCACTTAATGGCTCTAGTTACTATAGTCTTGAGTTCTCAAAGGAGAAATTCCTCTTCCCTTAAAAGCATTAGGTTGCCCTAAAAGTAAGTGATACTGTACATGACAATGTTTTGTTTTGTTTTGTTTTTGGCATTACTGGGGTTTGAACTCAAAGCCTCATACTCCTTAGGCTCCTTAGGCACTCTTGTCACTTGAGCCATACCTTCAGCCCTGGCAATGTTTTCTTAAGAGGACATTTTGTTTATCCTACATGCTTAATCTATTTTATAGGTAAAGTCCTTGAAGTTCACCCATGCTGTTTCTATGTTGGAGATAAACTATTTTCTCATCTAGCTGTTCCCTTTGCTTTCACACCTTGTATGGGTTTCTGGATCTCTCTGTACCTTTCATATTTTAGTCTCTAGGGTCCCAGTCCCTAGTCTGCTGAGCCAGTTTTACAGGCTCAGCCAAAATGAGAAAGTGAAATGAGATACTGGGATGGATTTGATTAATCCATATTTGTGAGGACTTGTGTTAATTTTCCTCTTAGCCATTTAATTTCAAATCCTTTAAAAGAAAAAAATATATGTGTAGGGTTTTTTTTAATTCATTTATTCACATGTGCATACATTGTTTGGGTCATTTCTCCCCCCTGCCCCCATTCAAGTCCTTTTAAACTTGGTGCCTGGTCCTTTTTAAAAATGAATTTAAGGTCCCAGTATTTTAAGAGAAATTAGATGAAATCCTCTAGTCCCTTGTTCCTCAAAAAAGCTACCCCACAGAGTTAACCTGGGAGCTTATTAGAAATGCAGAATCCTAGGCCCTGCCCTGGAGTTGGAGTCAATTTGCATTTTAACAAGATCACCAGATGTTTTGAGAGCACTGCTGTAGTCCATTCTCTGGCTTTATTCACAAACAGGGAAACTGGTCATTTACTCAAAAAATACTTTAGTCCCTCTTATGTTCAAGGGACTCAGAATTAAATACCAATCAATTATTTGGATATGTTTAAAATTGGGAGAAATGATTTATCTAAATGAATCTAATAAAGATGGGCACCTGGTTCTTTGGAACAGATGTATTAGGTCTTTGAGGACTACTCAGGAGTTGACTCTTCCTTTGGCAAGTGGTCAAAGAAAGGAACAGCATTTCCTGCAGAAGGAAGGTGTGAAGAGTGTGAAGAGTGAGCTTCTAATGGAGCAGAGGTGAGGGCTTGGGTTGTAATTTCTGTTTTTTGTCCTAAAGATAACACTTACTGAATGCATTATGCCAGACATGGTTACTAACATAACCACAATAACCCCATGTGGATAGGCACTTCTTCATTTTCCCCTTTTTAGGCAAGGAAACAAGCACAGAATAAATCATAGCAAGTGCAGCTCCTGTTCAAATCCTGCCAGACAAGGGAGAGGAAAGGGACTCAAGAATGAGGGGGAGTAACCAATGTAGCAATAAGAAATGAAGACTATCTTTGATAAAAGCTGAAAATCTCCCATTGGGTTTGGCAGTTGGATCCTTGACAAGTTTATAAATGCACATTTTGTGTTGTCTTGAGACAGGTCTTGTTTTGCTGCCCAGACTGCCTTGGAACTCTATTCTGCCTCACCCTCCTAAATGCTGGGGTCACAGTCATAGTCACAATGTGTGACTATGTTACCTTTGGAAGTTTGTGAAGAGGGCCGAAACTTATTGATGTATAGAGGGCACTGGGGCTCTGGAGTCGGATCTGGGTTTGAATTCTGGCTGTGCAGTGTCTGTGCTGCCCAATCAACTACACTACATTGGATACCTTGGCCTCACGCATCAGGTGGGACTCATACCTGCTTTGCTGTGAGTTAAGTGCTGTTTTTAAAGAGAATGATTCGGGTTGAGAAGCAGCTCCAACCCAGAGAGGCCCAAGTGAGAAGGAAAGGGGTGCACAGCTCGTGAAACCAGCTGGCTAGTGCTCATGTTGGGAGGAGCTTAAAAACCCTGGCAGAACGTGGGCTCCACTGCAGACTTCTGCCTTAACGCCAAGTATGCCAACTAAGCAGTCTCCCAGCCCGGGCTGCGGGGTTCGGGTGACTGGGGAGGGCTGATGGAGATCGGGGTTCGCTCAAGCCCTGACCTGCCCGCCTTGATTCGGGCCCTCCAGACTTGAGCACACTTGCGTGAGTGGAACGGTCTCCTAGCAACCTGACGCCAGCCAGGCCCGGGACGGGGCAGGCCGCCATGGAGCAGCCAGTCATCTCTATCACCTCCGCAGTTCTAAGAGACGATCTGGGGCTTGGAGACTCGCTCATCGGGATCCCGGTACGGCCGTCCCCCGGCCGCCAGGCCCTGCCCTTAGCGGCCGCTGTCACCCAGCCCTGGAGCCCTTGGCTGCCGCTTCAGGAGGCCCTCTCCCGCCCTTGTCCACACTGCAGCTCCTTCTTCCTATTTGATCTGCAATGTATTCCCTTTCGCCTTGCTGCCTCCCTTCTCGACTTCATCCCTTGTGTTCTTACTGCTTCAGTGGACGATGACATTTCTTCCCCTTTCCTCTCCCACCGTGCCCGAGGCGCCATTCCCAAGCACTACTACTGTAGTAGTGACCCAAGAATTTCCTTGGGTTAGTTCATAAAGTCTTGGGGTGAAGGATGTGTAGTTTTATCTTTCCCCTTTAAAGTGAATTTCAGTGGCAGGTGGTGCCTTGGGCCACCGCAGCCGGTTACCTGGCTTGACTTTTTGTTGTGCTGACCTCTCCCTGCTCTCCCGCCCATCTCCCCCGTTCACTTAGGAGGTGGGTCACCTGACTTGACTTGCCCAACAATGTCATCTTTCTGAGACTATAAACCCTGCCCCAGATGATGCAGCATAAATCTCACATAGGAATGTAGGAGAAGAAATTTGGACTGAGCAGTATGCATGAAGCCATTTTTAAGAAAAATGGACGTATTTCATAGTTAAAGTCCAGTTGAATAGTGGATTCCAGTTATGAATCAGGAAGGAATAATTGTATCAGGTTTTTTTAACAGACTAGATTATTACTTTTAATGCATTCTTCCTAACTCATGTTTCATAATAATGACAAAAGCATTATAAAATGGAAGTATGTTAATGTTTTTTCCCTACTAGAAACAGTACAAAAGGAAAAAACAAACAGCTCTGTTCTGTGGACAGGGGCTGAAACAAATGTAATAGTAATAACTGAGTTGTAAATTACTTACTATGGAAGATGAGAGCTTTCCTGGAAACTGAGAAATAGCAAAACCATCTGCGTCTTACCTTGGCAGATGAGTGTTAAAAGCTACCACTTACTAAGCATTGGTTATGGGTACAAGTCTTTTTGGGGGGGCGGGTATTAGAATTTGAACTCAGGGCCTTGCGCTTGCTAGGCAGGTTCTCTACCACTCAGGACTCCATCAGCCCTAAGTCTTTTTTAATTAGTGTAAATGACACAAAATGGCATTTTCATACATACATATAGTGTACTTTGATCATATTCAGGAGTGCAAGGCTTTTGGTTTTTTTTTTTTTTTTTTTTAGACAGGGTCTCACTATATAACGACCTAGGTTGGCCTTGAACTCACTATCCTGCCTCAGCCTCCTGCGTGCTGGGTTACAACCACACCCAATGTGGGTGTGATTCTTTTCTCTTTTTGGGGGAGTACTGGGGGTTGAAAAAAGAGCCTCACACTTGCTAGGCAGGTACTCCCCCAGCCCTTTTGCTAGATAGTTTTCAGATAAGAGTCTTACACGTTTCCTCTGGGCTCAGCCTATAATGTGATCTTCTACCTACGTTTCCCACATAGGTGGGATTACAGATGCATACCACCACACCCCACTTCTCTGTTGAGACACGGTCTGGCAAACTTTTTGCCCAGGCTGGTCTTGAAGTGCTATCCTCCCAATCTCCCTCTCCTGAGTAGCTGGCATGCAGGTATGAACCACTGCATCCAACCATAGTGTGAATACAATGATACTTTACCATTATGCCAACTCTGGTACTACCTTCTTTTTATATCCCTGTGAGCAACTTGCCCAAAGCACTTAGCTGCTAAGTGAAGGAGTTGCGGCCCAAGCTCAATTCTTTTCTTCCTAAGAACATCAAATTTTGTTATGTCTAATATCCTCACAACATCTCTGTGAGACGAGGGTATTTGTTACTCTAATTTCACCAAAGGGAATTTGTAGATATGTATATATTATACACACATATATTTATATATGTGTGTGTATATATATATATGTGTGTGTATATATATATATATATATTTTTTTTAGTGATACTGGAGTTTGAACTCAGGACCTCACACTTGATAGGCATGTACTCTACCACTTGAGCCACTCTGCCAGCACCAAAGGGAATTTAGATTTTTAAAAACATTTAAGATTATGAAAAAGAAATTTAAGGAAATATTTATGGGCAAAATTGATCATTATGTAGCTTTTATTTTAATGATAGCTCGTTGTTTTGGTACAAGTATAATTTCTTTAAGATATTTAATTTTAAAGGATTGCCTTTCAAATGAATAAGCATATTTTGTATTTGTTAATAGAAACCAGTCCGGAAGCATTCATCTTTTGAAAGAGAAGGATGGTGGAGAGTTGCACTAACAGTGTGTATCTTTTCAGTGTTTCTTGTCCAAATTACTTTTATTTCCATTAAGATTTTAATCAGTCTTGCCTTTGAAGTCAGTAACACTTAATTGTAAGAAAACAATGGTTGTTCAGATATACATGGCCTTATAATTTTAGTATTAGCATATGAATAAGAAATTAGCTTTAAATTTTGAATGCAATAAGAGCTTGGACAGTAAACAACTCTAGAGATTCAGGTGCTTTATGTAGCCCACCTAGATAAGGCCACCTACCATGTTGGTGGCAGTGCACAAGAAAGGAAAAACTTCCTTGCTGGAAAAGCGATTTGGTTCAGATTTTGGCGTAGGTGGTATAGAACCTATGAGAACATTTACTACTATGGTCAATGGATAGCATGTGTAAAAGCATGATGGTAACATACAAAAGAAGGACCACACCACCTACCTCTCAGAAGCTAGTAAGAGAGCCCCGTTGATTAAAGCCTTCTTGGAACTGAACTAATTTTAATGGCAGAACTGGGTGAGTGCTTAATGGAAAGATGGCCAAGAACAGAAGAGAGAAAAACCTCTACTCCAGCCATTCAGTCACACTGTGGTTGTGACTTGACATATCAAACCTTGTCTTGCACTAAGCACACTGGATGCTCTGCCAGTTCAGCCACAGGCTTCCTACTTGAGGGCTAGTTAGCAACTGTAGTATCCACTAAGTGGGAGTAGGGTTGCTTTTGGTCAGTCAAGAAACTATGGTGAGTAGTATCACTTAAAGGCCTAAGATCTGCGGTCCAAGTTGAATCACAAATGAAAGTACATCCTGAAGTTACCTTTGAATAAGTTTACCATAATTCAGCAGTTGCTTCAGAAAGAGAATAATCATAATTCTTTTGAAATACTGTTCTGTCAAGAGTGTTTGTTACACTTGATAGAATTTCATTAAACTTGCAAACAAAGAGAAATGCTATTTAGAAATGACCTTTTCAAGAATGGTGCTTTAGGAAAAGTTACAGGTTTAAAAACGATGTCAATTTTCCACAGAATACTCCTATCCCTGGTACTTACCACTTGAAAACATTTATTGAAGAATCCCTATTAAATCCAGTGATCACGACCTACAGTTTTAAAAATGAAGGAAGGAAGAAGCCATCTCTTGTGCAAAGAAATGATCCAGTCCTAAATGATCTTCCCCACTATAGTCCTCCTGGATTCCTAGACCTGTTAAATAAGCAAAAGGCCTCGTATGCATTCAAGGACAAGCCTCGGCCAAGCCCCAGCGCCCTGGTTTACAAAGATAAGGTAAAGCACTACAGAAAACAGGTTTTCTTTATGCATGGAGTGTCTATCCCACCCCCTCCAGTGGGAACCTCCAGGACGTCTTGCTCCCTATAGAAATCAAAGGGCTACCTCTTTGCAAATGTGTCCAGTAAGCTTTTTTCTGTGAGGAGAGCACCTGGTGAGTAATTTCTCCCTCTGGGATGACTCCTGGCTTGGGGAGTCTCTGAGATCTCATCTGTGGCTGGACCGTGCTCTGGCCTCTTCAAGCAGTTTATCTGGTCAACCCTTTTCAGGAGACAGCCCTGCTTCTTGGTAACATCCTTGTTGAAGCAGAAATGTAACTACATCCTCACAGGAATATCTACACACCTCAGGGCAGCACTTGCAGTTTTTCGTGATCAGGGGAACAACTCGATGGTAGAGCATGTGTTTGGCTATGCATAAAGCCTTGCATTCATCCTAGCACCAAAACACGGAAACGCATTTATTTTTCTTGGAGAAAGGAGCCTTGGTCACAGAAGGCTCAGATTCTAGTCTCAGTTCTGCCAGTGTATTATAGCATTGATAATGTAGAGCACGGCTGACAGCCTTGTGCTAGGCTGTAAGAGACTAGGTGTTCCTGACCCGGAAGTACTTAAGTAGCAATACAAAACAAAATGTACTGAGATAAATAATGCAGTTGGGGATGCCAAGGGTTAAGCTCAATGGAGGCTGGATTGAAAATCTGGAAAGTTCCCTGGATTAAGGAGGGCTAGGCTGGACCTTGACTCATAAGCATGTCTTTTTTCTTCTTTTAATTAGAATATATGCATTATGGGGGGGGGTAGTTCATAGTGACAATAGCAATTAGACTTATATTATATATTAGTTCCATTGCCCCCATCGTCTTCTCCCCCTCAACCCCACTTAAAGCAATTGCAAGAGGTTTTTTAGTCCTATTTTATAGAGGTGTATGAAGTCCATCAACCATACACTGTCACCTTAATCCCTTCATTCACCCTCCTCCCTACCATTACCCCTTCCCCACTGTACCTATTTTACAGTCCTGTTTCTTGTTAATACGTAAGTTGATGTTCAAAGGGTTTTCTCACTGGAAGCCCACTGTAGGTGGGCTTTACTTTGCTCAGTTCAACCCCTTCCATTACTCTCCCTTTACCTCCCACTCCCCATTGTTCACCAGCTTTCAATACACAATGTTTTTCGATACTACTGATGCTTTGTCACTCTCTTTTCCTTTTCCTCTTTCCCTGAGTTCCGTAGAGTAGTTCCACTGTTACAAACATGTTCTATGTATGAGTTTGTATGTGAGCATGCTTGTTTTTGTATATATGTTTACCTTTGGATCTATCTTCCACATATGAGAGAAAACACATGGCCTTTGTCTTTCTGAGCCTGGCTTACTTCTCTTAACATGATGTCCTCCAACTGCATCCATTTACCTTCAAATGCCATGTCATTATTCCTCATGGCTAAGTAATACTAAGCATGTTTTTTATGTGGCTCCTAGTGTTTACTGCAAGCTTCCATGTGCATTAGCTGCTTCTCTCTTAAGTATTCTGAAGTAGGCTAAGCAGATGTTACCTCCATTTTACATGTAAGAAAACTGAGGCACATGGAGACTGCGTCTCTTGTTCTAGCACATGGCTAATGGGTAGGTGAGCAGCACCTTGAACAAAGAGATGGCACCTGAGCACAAATTCAGCCCTCTTCCCATGTGCCCCGCTCCTAGAGTGAGGAGTACAGTTTGGATCGGTGGAATCCCAAGGAGACATTTCCAGGGAGGAACATAGCTTTGTTGAAGGCATGGAAGTTGCAGGGGTGTGCCTGGCCTGTTTGAGGGAAAGATTTGTGACTTACACTTTGTTACTTGAGACTTCAGTCACTTGTTGCAGCTCTCTGTGCCTTAATATCCCCCAAATGGAAAAGAGCTAATAATAGTATCAATCTTAGCAACTTTATCAGAATGTTACTATGTTAGGGCAACTGGAAGTTAGCTACGAACAAGGGCTTGTAGCTCAACATGGCGGTGGGTCGGGGAGGGCACACTTGTAACCCCAGCACTCAGGAAGGTGAGGCAGAAGGAGTGTGAGTTGGAGGCTAACCTGGGCTTCATAGTGAGATCCTGTCTCAAACAAAACAAAACACCAAGGACCATGAAGGTAGACAGGATAGTTTCAGCAAGATGAGAGTTTATATATCCAACATGTAGTCCCTCCTACTGCTTTGCAAATCACAGCTGTGAAACGGGTAAATCTTACACTGATTGCTTCAGCAGATGGATACAAACACTAAATTATACTTGGGCTTTTATGGCTTGGTATCAGGTAACTAGTAGACATGTGAAATTGTCCTGGCCACCTCAAATGCAAAGTCATTATTTTATACTTTCCTTTGCTGTTTACTCCCCTCTGCTTCCTCCCTTGCTCTGAGGGGGCTCTGAGGGTTGGCCAAAAGCCCACCATGGAAAGGAGAAAGCATAGAAGGTTGGTATTAGGCAAAACTAAAATCTTTTTTTTCTTTTCTTTTTTTTTTTTTTTTGGCAGCCCGGGGGTTTAAACTCAGGGTCTTACCCTTGCTAGGCAGGCGATCTCCCACTTGAGCCACTCCACCAGCCCAAAACTAAAAACTTTTTTAAAAACCAAAGGAATTTAGCTTACCAACAGGAATGGAGAAGCCTTCTGAAAACATACTTTTCTTTCTTGTCTTTTCTCCTCTTCTCCCCACCTCCCACAAAGGATTAAGCTCCAGAAACTGGAAGAATTCAATGTTTTGCTATTTTAAGGCATATGAGATTCTGTTCACAAGGGGAGAGATATTCAGATGTAACATTGTTTATTCACCTATAAAATTCAAAATTCTGGTGTTTTAATAGCAGCACACATTAGAACTCGCATCCTCCTACCTCAGCCTCCTGAGTGCTGGGATTATCAATATGTGCCACCATGCCTGGCATGCAGTAACTTTTTGCTTATCACCAGAGAAATAATATGTGTTCACTGTAGAATATAGGTACAGCAATGGGGCCAGCTCTCTCTCACTGACCTGCTTTGCCCCTGGGTGACAGTCATCCACCAGCCTGGGGTTTCTCCCCTCATTTCTTGCTGATGTCAGCTCCCTGTGCTCACTGCTTCTCTCCTGTCAAGTTCCAGTACACATGGCGGTGATCATCCAATGACTGGCTTCTCAATGTCTTGACCTCTCCTCTTTGATTTGCAATGATTTTTTTTCATGGCCCATAATTTCACCCCTTCACAATCTGAATTACATGAGTCCTGATCTCTGGTCGTACTCTAGCTTGTGTCCCAGCCCCCGTAATTTTTTCCATTACCCCGCCTTCCACCCTTTGATTGCCCCAGCTTTTTCTTCCTCAGCCCTCTGCTGTTTTCCTTGCAAGCTTCAAGTCCAGAGCTTCAAATCTATAGTTACTTGGCATGCTTTGCCAGTTGTCTTGGCTCTGACTGCTTACCTCTTGCTTGTTTAGCAAAGCCACACCCTGGTTAAATCTAACTGCTCACCTGGTAGCTGCAACCATGTGGCTAAAGAACCAGTCTCGTTTTAAACTCTTAGCCTCCAATGGGCACCAAATGGACTTTCCTAGTTGGTTTGTCCTCCCCACTTCCTGCATGGCCCTATCCCACATCTGCCCTGTTTCTAAGCTCTAACACCTCCTTAGGGTTTGCTTTTTCCCAGCCTTCTATGCTGTCTCTGCTCCTTCTCCCCAGCCTCAAGTCGGCTAAGTCTGCCAGTTCCAGAATCTCCCTACAGAGAAGGGGACCCATCTGTAGCCAGTGAGTCGGTACTGAATTAGGTCAGCAGCCCAAAAGAAGGTGGAGTGCTACCACTCTGCAGATGCCAGGGAGCTTCCAAAACACGCTCACCACTGTGTGGTCTCAAAGGGCAAACATGAGTCCTGTTTTTTGTCATTTTTACCTATTTGATGACCAAAAGTTTAAGTATGCTGACACCCAATACTGGCAAAGAGGACACAGGCACAGATATTGTCCTGCATTGTTTGCACGGATATCACTTAGCAAAAATATTCTGGAGGGCAATTTGGCAGCCTAGATATACCTTCAATGCATAATTTACCTTATGGATGGTCTTAACTAAATTACAGTGAGCTATTTATATAACACTGCAGCTTTGTTTGTAATTTCATTTAAAGGACTAAATATTGCTACATTCATGCAATAGCATACTGTTAGGCATACTATTGAAAATAATAAGGTGTTCATATGAAAGTGTTTCAAGTTATTAAGTGAAAAAATCAAGGTGTAGCCTTGTGCTGCTTGCTCACGCCTGTAATCCTAACTACTCAGGAAGCAGTGATCAGGAGGATCACAGTTCAAAGACAGCCCAGGCAAATAGTTTGTGAGACCCTATCTCAAAAAACCCTATCACAAAAAATTGGGCTGGTAGAGTGCCTCAAGGTGAAGGCCTTGAGTTCAAGCCCTAGTACCCCCCCAAAAATAAAAAATAAAAACAAAGTGTAGGTTAATTTTGTAGCATAATCCCATTTGTATAAATGAAAACAAATATTCATACATATGATGTTTAGTGCATTCTGTTTTTTCTTGACAGACACATAATCATTAATTGTGGCTTACATTTGCAAAGTAGGGGTTTGATGGGAGAAGAAAGAGACTTGAACTTTTTCTTTCTGTGGTTCTTGACTTGTTTTCACTCTTTTTTGTGGTACTGGGATTTGAACTCAGGGCCTTATGCTTATGAAACAGGCACTCTACTACTTGAGTACTGCCCCCCACTTTGACTTGTTTTCAATGCATAAGTCATACTTTCAGTCATGCTCATTTGTAAAGAACTCAATTTTTTTTTCAAAATAACATTTTTTTCTCTTAAGTGTTCTTTTTCTTTATATGTTCCATTTTAGAAGTTCTCTTATTTACTTCCCTCGGTTGGGAATATTTTGATGAAAATTACAACTAAACAAAAGACATTTAAAATTATATGAAGGTTGTGTCCCAGTTAGTTTTAGTATTATCTTGTAAGATGAAGCCCAT